CGGTAAATTTTTCAACATAAAACAAATTCATGCATCATATTTAGATCATTTTTATATGTACCGAAGTGAGTTTTTTTCCTCATTATACTGTATATCTCTCTGCATTTTCTCAACCACGGAGAATATTAATTTCGTGTTATAATTTATTATAAATCTCTCGTAATTCGTTTTATTGGGGTTTTAACTTCCTGATGAGATTGATATTTGAATCAATTTGTTGGCCTTTTTAGTACGCTTGTGACAACAAATAATTTTGCTTTGTTGTAAAGTTAATAGTTAACGACTAAAGGCTCTGTTGTAAAGTTTATAGTCATCAACCTAGGGCTCTGTTGTGAAGTTATTAGTTATCATCCAAAGGCTCTGTTATAAATTTAATAGTTATCAACCTAAAGGTCTGTTGTAACGTTAATAGTTAACAATCAAGGTGGCTATCTCTGAACTTTTACTTAATAACCGTGGCAACAATCGTTTAACTATTACTTACGCATATTTCTGTAAATTTACGAATGCATTTCCTCCTTAATTAATAAGCAAGTTGATGTTGGATTTTTACTAGTTAATTCAGCAATCAGTGACATCCGCATCGCTCCAGTTTAGCTGCAGACCGCATGACTTTATTGCTTGGAAAATTGACTAAATTTTATTCCTACACGCAGTTAGTTATTATTCATCCAGTGCAAATTTCAGCCTATATACTGTAATTATGCGCGCAAGCCCGTTGAAGATATTGATATGGGTTCTGAAAGCACAATTTAGTTACACGTGTGCTCTAAATCAGGTAATCTGCAATTCAATGCCAGCACATGTTGGTTATGGGTATTTCAATAATAATCAATGAAGACTATAATTGGGTAACTTTTCTTAAAAGTTTGCTCTCCAGTCGCCGGCATGACGGCGATTTAAAGGCAGATGTTTGAAGGATAGGTTTTCCATTTCTAGATTTTTTTTTTTGCAAGGTCAGCATTGAAGCTTTCCTTTTAGTCTACGGAACTTTTTAAGCTTGAGCTACAGCAGTTAGCTCTACAAAAGGACAACAGACTTGAATGTGAGTGATGAGTAATTGTATATGATGAGCAATATATAATAGGCCCAGTATAATGAAAATTTTACAGCACTCACGATCACGTATGTTGAAATAGTGCGTGCCGAATTTCAGTGTGATTGGGGGCAGCATTCATAGTGAATTATTACAAGAAGGAGTAAGCCCCTGAATGGCGATGAAAACTTAATTTCAGTTCAACAAGAAATTAATATACCATTTTACAAAGTTCTCGCTTGTACTGTATGTTGAAATTTTTTAATATTCAATATGTACGATTATTCTAAATTGAAACGCGTTGCGGTCTTTCACACAATTTATTCAGTAATACGAATGCCCACTAAGGAAACGGTTACCAGTAATTCATACTATTCATTCAGACGTTAGAATATTCACGTGTAAATGCATGTCGGTCATTCGTACAATTCATACAATCGTATGAATATGCACTTTGGAAGAGCATGACGATCATCTCAACGTGTTTGGAAACCAATGTATTATTTTGCGTTAGATATCAATCGTCAGACGTAAAAATCTATAAATAGTTGATATATTACATAATAGTCCCTGGTTCTCTTGGTTGGCCGAATAAAGTTTAAAATGGATAGAAATAAATCAGTCAATAGACTTAATGTAAACAATAAATAGCATATTATTCACCCATCAAAAGATCAATTCAATCTATAATAAAGTTGTAACTATTAATATTGTATTAGATGTTTGATATTAATCTTAGATATTATTATTATTATTAGATACAACCCAAATTGTGTTGCATTAAACGATTTACCTGCTCGTTGGCATTTACCGAACCCACACGCCCAGTACCCGCGCTCTTCCGAATGCTTCATATGAAAGTGAAACAATCGAAAGTCGCGTGTTTGAGAGAAAAAAAATGAGAAAAAAACTTGCAGAACTCCTGCCCCGCCGAATCCGGAGGCGTTTACCGAAAGCTTTACTCATGCAGGCCTTACCCTAACAAAATTTAGAGTCGCCCCAGCTTCTGGTACCCCAAATCAGAAGCTGACGCGTCTGTAAATTTTCACTGGGTACTCATTTAACAACGGATCTAGTCCTGCAAGGCAGAACATGGTCACTACCTCATTGAAAATTATGGGTACCCCATCCTTGGCCAACCACAAGCCAGCTAATTTCTTGGATACATTTTGAATGGGGAGTGGACTTAGACCTACTGAAGCCAGCAGCCAGCTGTAATGACCCTAGCTTCTGCCCCTATAAAATTGGGACTTTTTTCCCATCGGATTGCAAATTTTAAATTTAACATGGGAATGTGGTGAGTTCCGCAATGCCCTTACATGAAAGTACCCAAAAGGCATGGTTAATGCATGCTTGATGTAGCTTAACTACATCAGCGCCATTCAAACTGCTTGCGAATTAGTTTAAGTTAAGCTCTTTTTGTTGTAATGGTATAATAAAACGTGCCGCGGTAGATACATCAAAGCAGTACCTTATAAATACACAAGATTTGGCAGTTAATGACAATTGACAACAGTTTCAGCATAAAATATTTACCGGTTAAATCTTGACATGCATGTGGCCTTTTATTAGTCTACCGCAATGAGTTATCAAATTATACATCGTATTTATGGCTTTTTTATTTAAAGCATCTTGTTGACTCAAATTTGTAGATAAATTTGTTGGGCCCTTGGCAGCACACCGGCATTAATAGTGTCACGTCTGTTACGATTGTAGAGAAAAAAATTACGTATGCAAAAAAATTGTTATGACGAACTTTCCTGTTACAGAGTTTGACGTAAAAAGTTATGAGATTCGTTTATGTACCACTAACATCAAAGGCATTAAACTTCTTTCGGTCATTTATAAATTTTAGTGGGTATGATTGGTGCCGAGAGTTTTGGGCTCTAGTTTTTTAGTTAATGACGACGCTCTTCTCAGGAATATCATTCTACTTCAAGCTTCAGCAAAAAAATAATCGAAATTGTGACACTACTAACAAACTACGAAACGTATATGGCCAAAAGTTATTGCTTATTAGCCAATAATAAGGTTTAAATGTGTATAAAGCAATTAAAAATTTAAAGCCAATTGTTTGGTTCATGGTTGGCTCATGGAATTTAAAATGGAACAAGTTTTCATTCAATCTTGAATTCAGCAAACATTTTGAAATATTAATCAACACAGAAATTCTGATCTTTGGGTTAATTCAACCTAGAAATCTTTGCTTTTGTACATTATTTATTGTCATTGCAATATTCTAACGGTGATAACTGTAGAATGGGAATTGAAATTTAAGGATAAACTGATTCAATTTATTATTGAACGAGTTTCGAGCATAAAGAGGCTAATTTTCTGTTTAACGGATAAATGTGTTTGATTTAAGTTATTTTTACTAAAATTGCGTAAAATAGACTGCACTAGCCCAACATTTATTAATTCATGCAACAACAAGTGGAAACACGCATTTTAATATTCAAGTCATACTCAAAACAGTGGATAATCGGGGTAACATATTCATCTGCATTCAATAACTGTTCAAAGCAATTAACATCTGCAATAAAAATCCATAAACAAAATCAACATCCACGCTTCAGGCTACCATGACCACGAGAATGTGGATCCAATTACTCAGCATGAATAATGTCGATAAGAAATATAGAAAAAAAATTGGTACAAGTTAAAATAGACTTTTCAGCTCTGGAGCACAGAAGGAGAAAGTGGTCCATCTAAAAACTGGCACAGCCTCTCCTTCCAGCAGCTGCACTCAAAATCAACTGACAAACCCCTGTTCAACAACAGTTGCACTCCAAATCCACTGAATTTTATTCGCTCACCAGCAGCTGCACCCGAATTCAACTGACGGAATCCCTCTAACCAGCAGCTGCACTCGAATTCAACCGACGTTCTCGCTCTCACCAGCAGCTGCACTCGAATTCAACTGACGTACTCGCTCTCACCAGCAGCTGCACTCGAATTCAACCGACGTTCTCGCTCTCACCAGCAGCTGCACTCGAATTCAACCGACGTTCTCGCTCTCACCAGCAGCTGCATTCGAAGTAAACTGAAGTACTCGCTCTCACCAGCAGCTGCACTCGAAGTAAACTGAAGTACTCGCTCTCACCAGCAGCTGCACTCGAAGTAAACTGAAGTACTCGCTCTCACCAGCAGCTGCACTCGAAGTAAACTGAAGTACTCGCTCTCACCAGCAGCTGCACTCGAAGTAAACTGAAGTACTCGCTCTCACCAGCAGCTGCACTCGAAGTAAACTGAAGTACTCGCTCTCACCAGCAGCTGCACTCGAAGTAAACTGAAGTACTCGCTCTCACCAGCAGCTGCACTCGAAGTAAACTGAAGTACTCGCTCTCACCAGCAGCTGCACTCGAAGTAAACTGAAGTACTCGCTCTCACCAGCAGCTGCACTCGAAGTAAACTGAAGTACTCGCTCTCACCAGCAGCTGCACTCGAAGTAAACTGAAGTACTCGCTCTCACCAGCAGCTGCACTCGAAGTAAACTGAAGTACTCGCTCTCACCAGCAGCTGCACTCGAAGTAAACTGAAGTACTCGCTCTCACCAGCAGCTGCACTCGAAGTAAACTGAAGTACTCGCTCTCACCAGCAGCTGCACTCGAAGTAAACTGAAGTACTCGCTCTCACCAGCAGCTGCACTCGAAGTAAACTGAAGTACTCGCTCTCACCAGCAGCTGCACTCGAAGTAAACTGAAGTACTCGCTCTCACCAGCAGCTGCACTCGAAGTAAACTGAAGTACTCGCTCTCACCAGCAGCTGCACTCGAAGTAAACTGAAGTACTCGCTCTCACCAGCAGCTGCACTCGAAGTAAACTGAAGTACTCGCTCTCACCAGCAGCTGCACTCGAAGTAAACTGAAGTACTCGCTCTCACCAGCAGCTGCACTCGAAGTAAACTGAAGTACTCGCTCTCACCAGCAGCTGCACTCGAAGTAAACTGAAGTACTCGCTCTCACCAGCAGCTGCACTCGAAGTAAACTGAAGTACTCNCTTGCAGCATGGTTGAAATGTTGCAGCATGGTTGATATGTTGCAGCATGGTTGATATGTTGCAGCATGGGTGATATGTTGCAGCATGGTTGTTATCTTGCAGCGTGGCTGTTATTTTGCAGCATGGTTGTTATCTTACAGCATGGTTGTTATCTTGTAGCAATTGTTACTGCCTTGCAGCATGGTTGTTATGTTGCAGCAAGGTTGATATATTGCAGAATTGTTAATATCTTGCAGAAGATTTTATGTCTTACAGCATAACTGATATCTTGCAACATATTTGGTGTCTTGCAGCGAGTCTGGTTGATGTCTTACAGCATGATTCTTTCTTGCTACATGACATGATGGTTTCCTGGCTGCATAATTGTTTTTTTTTTTTGCAGCATAATAGTAACCCCGTAGCATATGGATGCTGTCTGGCAGCGTAGTTGACATATTGCAGCCTTGCAATGTAGTTTCTGTCATGCAGCCAGTTTGACGTCTTGCAGCATAGCGGCCTCAATGTCTTCACAGCATCAAATTTCACCCCCTCATATCAGCATGGCATGTTGTACTGATTTAGATTGTTCAATGCCTTGAACTGAGGGAAAGGGAGTTCACCCTTGCAACATTTAAAAAAAGATTGGATGCGTTTTGAGCAAGATCCCGGTTATGGGAAACTACCCTAGGCAAGTGATAATTATTAGGTAACAGCATCTTGCATCGGCTCGACTGAAGGATCACAGATGCACGGAAAATATTCAACGTTACCCCGAGTGTGGAGCGACCTGCCTATATATGGACGGCTTGGGGACGGAGGAAGACGAAGGCGGCGCATCAGCGTGAGCATAGACCAGGAGACGCCAAACTTCACATACGGACATAGGACATAGATGCTGGACAGTAAAATAATAATTTACTTATTATTTTATATTAACTTATTTCACTTTAAGTTCCTGCAGCTTCAATAATTAATTAAAATGTGTGCGTAAGCAGTACGGTTTCATAGCAGCAATCAAAATTTTTCGCGAATTGCTTTTTTTTCTGTGACGGAAGCTGATTGGATTAGCTGCGGTTATTTGGTTTGCGTCGTTCTAAAAGTACTTTGTGCTAAAAAAAGTACTAAATTTAAAAAAAAATTGGCATCGATATTTTCCAAATTTCCAAATTTTGCAATATTAATTACGCGAAAATAAAAGGAATTCTCTTTTAAACGTTAGTTCTTTTAATTTTTTAGAGAGCTAGACATCTCTAAGCGCCCTCAAAATAATATGCTCGTTAATTCTTCTGAACGTTAACATAATTTGAAGCATCCAATTGATATAATTTTGATTGACCTTGTATTAAGAAAGTTACACGCAAGTCAATCAAATAAGAAATTTTTAACGCGATAACTAAATTATTCATAGCTCTGCCATTTAAAATGAAATTGCACGCAGGAAAAGGAATTTTTAAACATAATCTATTCTGCTCTCTATGCAAATTTAAGACATTCACAGACATAAATTCCGATGTCATCACTACAACAAAAAATACAAATGTCAGTTGGTTGTTTCGGCCAGTTCGTTCATAAATTACGGAAGGGGTTCAGAGAAGAGGGAAATCATTTAAATGTAGCGTCTAGTTGCTAGGTCAACGTGTAGTCTGGTGGTTGCTAGTCAACTTGTTGGGTAACACTGACCAAAAATTACGTCTAGCCATGTTTTTGTTCATGTGAGAAAAAAAGGTCAGATCATAGGTTAGTTAATTGGAAATATCGTCCCAGTTTGAAAAATGCTATAGTCTTCTCCTGAATTTATCCGGTAAAATTATATGAACGCTGATTCTGTGCAATTAAAAAACTTCGTTGTTCAGGATAATAATTTTATTTGTAAAATCTACAAAGCAAAGTATGTATATTTCTTACATTAAGTTCAAAGTACTGCCGTTAATTGTTTTACCGAAAATATTACTTATCCCGCCTCAATCTCGTAGTCTTAAATTGACGAAACTTGTATCAGCTTAAATGTAAAACTGAAAGTTGAATGCGTAAAATTTTAGGCTACGCCGGTCTTTAGAGAGCAATAGGAATTTAAACCATCTCAAAGTTTTGATCAGGATTACAATGTGCATTTCTGTTTGTTTTAGAGCCTGCCGTTTTGTCACTCTCTTGACATTCTGAAAACAAAATAAGCTTTCTCAAGGCTTCCAAGAGGACTTTAAGTAAAAATAATTTATTTAACGTTTGTTTAATCACTATTTATCAAAATTTCCGAACTTAAAAACTTATATCCGAAGTAACCAAACTCTTATATTACTTCTACACTAACGTCCAAAAATACGTTTTATGCGCGATAAACCGTATAACTTCCAGGCATTTCTTTCAAACCAAGGTTCGGCAATTTTTTAGACGAAATTGATATGCAATGAGCAGTACGAAAACAGAGAAAAGTTACTACTCCCCCAGTGAATGAGTGAAACTTCACAGAATTGATAATTATTATTCCTTAATTACAATTATTGTGAGTCAGCTGACAACTGAACTGAACTGAACAGCTGACACCAACTGTTCTGCACAACTGACGCCAGGTAGCAGTTGTCACTAAAAATTTCATTGAAATGAATTAATTCTACGATCTTATTTGAATTGAATAGTTTCAGAATTGAAGACATACGAGTAATAACCAAATAAATTGCTTTAACATTATTTATTCTATATTTTATGTTCCAGGTGTCAAGGTTTAACTACAATTTATTTAGAAATATCTTCATTATTGACTTATTGATATGATTGACTTATTGACTATACAAATCAAAATATATATGGTAAATGTTTTAGTCGGCCTTAAAAAAAAAGAACAACTCGTTTTCTAATCTAGGGTGCATAGAAAATGGTTAGGAGCAGTAATTTTAGGCTAACTTTCCTAAGTCTTGTTGATTGTTGAAACTTTCAGCGAAGTAAGATCCGTTAACATAATTAATTAATGTGTTCCACTCGTGTGTGCACAGCATGCTGTGGACACAGTAGATGTTTCAGAGCAAAATTCTCTAATTTTCTAAACATAAGGAAATCTTACTTTAAATAATTATTTTTGTCAGCAAGTAAACTTTGGGCATTAATTTTGACTGCAAATAGTACTGCAGCTAAATTTGTCTGTACGCTGTACGCTCAGCCCTGTCACTATTGCGTGTCCGACTGGACCACGCACATTTTACACAGCCGCGTCATTATTAGTACGACAGTACAACGCACAGTCCCGTCACTATCAAGTTTACAAGTGTACATTGTACAGCCCCGTCACCATGAATGTCTCACAGCATGGTTGAACTAGTAGATATATATATAGTTCAACCATGGTCTCATAGTACAAGATTCAACAGTAATCACTCGTCACTATTTAGTCTCTTACTGTACAATGCTCAGCACCGTTACTATTAGTGTTCAACTGTGCAACGCACAGCTTTTAGTCCCCAACTGTACGACGCACAGCTTTTAGTGCCCAACTGTACGACGCACAGCTTTTAGTGCTTAACTGTACAACGAACAGCCTCCTCACTATTAGTGCCCAACTCTCACTATCAAGTGTTAAATGTTAGCTCATATAATACCCTTGCCCAGTTCGGTGTCACTGCATGATATAGATACCCCGTTTAACCCACATGTGTTACAATATTCTGTTGACCTCTCAACTTTTTATTGAACTCTTATTCCTGAGATGAGTTCTAGTACAACTTTCATGACAGATCAAATTGACTTTTTGAAGCCATCGTTGGCCAAAACTTCCCAACTGGTCCCAACTTNGGTAATAATAATATTAATAATAACAATATTATTATTATTATTATTATTATTATTATTATTGTAATCGATGGTTCTATATTAATTTGCTTTCAAGAATTCCTATTTATAATTTTTATTTTATCGCTACGTAAAAGTAACCCTCCATTAACACAATAACTTCTATAAATCATTTACTGACCTCCGCGCTGTCGGACGTAGACGATGTCCGGCGATGTCAAGCGGACACTCAACTTCCTGCAGCGGATATTGGCTACGCGGCTTCAGTTGCTCCAGAAAATCCGCTGGAAAAGATTGCCTCTGCGAGTCCTTATGAAGAACTGGCGCGGCCTCGGCTCATCTTGATGCGGCAATCTCGACAGCAGAACTTTTTTCTTTGTCATATATGAAGTATTTTTGTATTATTATATATTTTATTTTTGTTTTTCTTGATGCAGGTACTTGCTTTAGAAAAATATGACGCAGTGAGGATAGATGTATGTTTATGGGAAAATATATTTTCATTCAATACCTTTACAATAATAGATATTGAATACACATTTTTAATATATATTGGTCAGATTAGGTCTTTGTAAGTCTTTTATTTTTATCTATTGTTAAAGTTAAGCTTAATTAAAGTGTATTTGTTCATGTAAAATTGATAGCAAGACGATGATATTATTTCCCACTGCTTTATTTTTTGCAGTCTAGTTCCGAAGAACAGTTTTTATCGACTGAACATCGAACTTATCGACGTATCTGCGTTGGTTAGGAAATTTTCTCCTTATACATAATTTATTTAAATAATTATATTTTCAGTTTTAGAATTCAATCGTTTTTTCTGAGGCAATTGATAATTTCTGAACAGAGTCGTTTATCTATCTTTTGGAGAAGCAAAAAAATTATTCACAAAATGAAAATATTCAGTTTACTTACATGCCGGTTTCCCAAAATTAACTTACAATTTAAAAGCAGAGAAAAGTACTTAAAAATATACGATATAACTTGATTATAAATAGTTATTTATGAAAATATAGTAATTTTTGTATAAATTTCTTTGCTTTTTATTCATAAACAATTACATCTTTTGTTCCTGGTTCTTAGTCTGATTTTATCTCTGAATCTCTGTGTTGGCCAAATTAAATATCCTGATCAAATTTATCGACATTTTTCATTACATTTCTTCTAGTGACGTCATCTTCGCGGCGGAACATGAAATATATACATACTTCCGATATTTCTATTATTATTTTTAACTATAACAACATAGTGCAAACAAAAATGATAACGAGCA